CATGCACGCTGTGTCTCTCTCATGCACGCTGTGTCTCTCTCATGCACTATCTCATACTCTCTCGCATGCTCTCTCCCTCTCGCTCACGCGCCCCCACCTCGCACACCCCTCGCTCGCGCGTGCCCCCTTGCTTGCGCGCCCCCTCCCTCGCTCGCGCACCCCCTCCCTCCCTCACGGGCCCCCTCCCTCCTGCGCGCGCCTCCCTCGCATGCGCCACCTTCCCTTGCACGCCCCCCTCCCTTCCGCGCCCCCTCCCTCCCTTCCGCGCCCCCTCCCTCCCTCACGCGCCCCCTCCCTCCCTCACGCGCCCCTCCCTCCCTCGCATGCCCCCACACCCTCACTCGCGCAGCCCCCCACCCTCGCTCACACGCACCCCCCAAACACCCCAACCCCCCCTCACACGCCCCCTCCCTCACTCGCGTGCCCCTTCCACGCGCTGTCTGTCATGCATTCTCTCACGCACCCCGGTCTCTCGTGCGCGCACCCTCTCGCAACACTCTGTCATTCTGTCTCACTCCATCTCTCTCTCTCTCACACACACCACGCATACACACACACATGCACATGCACACACACCAACCTTCTTTATCTTTGGAATATCTTTCAGACTTCAGACCTTTGAGCTGTCTCTTGCATTTACCTAATTTCCTTCATTCCACACACAACAATGTCAAAATACTTCAGATGCTGGAAATCTGAAATGAAGATCAGAAATGCAGGAAATACTCAGCAGGTCAGGCAGCTTCTGACGAAGGGTCAGAGAACTGAAGCATTGAAACCTAACCTGAGGCAAGTTTGGTGCCGGCGCACAATTTAATCAGGTGGAGGGTGCCAGGTGGAGGCCTCACCAATTTTGCAGCTCTAGCTGGGAGCATGGTGAACGGCTTTCACATTGAAGTCCAGGCCATGATGATGTGAGGGCTTTGCTGAGACTGTAGATTCAATCTTCACAATCAAAAGTGTGCATTACATTTAAGCTGACAATGCTGAGGAACGGCCCAGTGATCAATTTGACACGTTGAAACGAGTGTTTCAAGGATGCCAATGTAACAGATCAAGGAGAGATCTACTGTTGTTCTAGCTGCAGCTCGTCCTTCAACCTACATGACCAAAGCAAACTAAGAAGGTGGTATCTCTCTGTCTGTGCTGTATACAAATTGACTGCTGTCCTTCCATACATAATCTTTCAAATATTATAAACTGAGAAGCATTTTGTCCTGAGGATACAAAGGACAGAATGTTAGGCAGTTATAAGCTAATTCTAAACCAGAAGTAAAAGCAAAATACTGTGGATGCTGGAAATCTAAAAAAAAAATAAAGTGGTGGAGAAACTCAGCAGGTCTGACAGCATCTTTGGACAGAGACACAGAGTTAGCATTTCGAGTCTGGTATGAATCTGAAGGATATTAACTCAATGATACAATGTTAACTTTGTTTCTCTCTCCACAGATGCTGCCAGACCTGATGAGTTTCCTTAGCATTTCCCGTTTTTGTCTGTAAATTGAGTTTGTTTTGCAGTACAGATTTGTTGTTTTATGTACAGTGAATAAGGCCAACAAATTCATACACCTCTGTCTCACTACTCATTGTGCTCATGCTCATATTCTCGTCCTTTCTTCTCTCTCCTCCACCTTCCCCCGTTCTACTCATCCCATTTGTCTCGTACAATATCCTACTGGATGCTCTCAATGCATTTTAATAGCTTTATGGATCTGAATCAGATTCAGTTTTATAACCTCACTAACAAATCCACACCCAAGGCATCAAGTCAGTCTCTATAATTCGGTGCACTTACAGAAGCAATAATTTTTATCATTCCTCAGTAAACCAGAACTAAAATGCCCTCATTGAAGTAGAGTGAACAGAGAATATACAGCTCTGCAGATAATGACTCACCAAATCCTTCCATTGACATGATTCCAGTTTAATACAAAACAATACAGCCAATAGCCATCGATCTCTGGCTGTCTGGCATTGAGCTTGAACATTTACGGGTAGTTGGAAACAGCCCTGTCATCTTTGACTTTCATCCAACCACTATACTCCAGCTCGGAATTCTGCACACCTAGGAACATACTTGTACCGCATACATTTACAGTACAAACCTGCACATTTAATTACTGATTTTTGGGCCCACTTCCATCGTCTATGCAGATCTACTTGTGATCAATTTCCTTCTGTAAAGTTCATCTTGTACAGCTCAACTTTATGTCATCCATGAACATGTGCATCTGAATCATTGTGTCTGTTCCAGCTGTTTCAGAAAGACAACCATCAGTCTCACTTTCTGTCTTTTTCCAAAGGCTTGTAAATTTCCCCCAACTTTCCTTTATTCACCTAATTTCAATTTGTAAGTTACCAGTGAATTTGATTTTATCATAGTTTTCATTTAG